CCCCCCCCCGCCCCCCCCCCCCCCCGCCGGCACGCCGATCCCGGCGGCTCCCCGGCTCCGGGCCCCCGTCGGGACCCAGCGTCCCCCCGGAGCGGCGCCCGGCACCGCGGCGGGAGCGGCCCCGGGGCCGCCGTCTCGTTCCCCCCCGCCAAACTTTCCGCACGTACCTGCCGGGGGCCTCGCTGCGGCCGGGGGCCGACGCTGCCCATGGCCGGGGCCCGGGCTGGCACCGGCACCGCCTGCCGCCGTCCCGGGACCGGCCCCGCGATCCCGGGCTGGCACCGGCACCGGCTGCGCACCGAGCGCTCGGCGCTGCCCCGCCCCGGTCAGCCCCGGTGCCCGTCAAGGCTGTCGTGGAGGAGGAACAGGCAGAGAAAATTCACCGGAAAAATTATTGACACGCACAACACCTTTTCCCACACCTCGCACCCCCCAAAAAAACAAAGAGGGGGTGGTGGCCCCGCGAGCTCCCAGGGATGTGGAATGGCGCGGGGATGGACGGACAGGCAGCCAGCCTGATTGCTGGCCCTGGCATTCTCCTCCTCAAAGGGTGAACCTGGTCACAACTAATTTACCCAAAAACTAATTTTCCCTGCCAAAAAAGGTGTGATGGATCCGTGAGCACAGAGGTGTGCTGGATGGTGTGGGGATGGACGGACAGATGGATGGACCCACTCCTGCTGCCCTCTTCTCAAAATGTGTGTCAAAAGCACCAAAACAGCTTTCCTGGAACTGGAATAGCATCACCAGCCTGGATCAGGCTCTGCAGGAGACTCTCCCTGACACCTGGGACCACAACACCAGCCTGGGCCAGTTCTTTCCCCAAGGCAGCTCCAGGCTTGTCCAGAAAACCTCTCCCGGTGCCTCCAGGGCAGAGCTTGCTTGACTCCTCTTGCAGCAGGCAGCAAGAGGCTTTAAAACACCAACAAACAGCGAGGGCAGAGGTTGAATTTTCACAGTTTTTGCCCGGAATTAGACCTGCAACCTCAGCACAGCCGAGATGAGAGGCTGGAGTTCCGCGCACTCATTTTCGTTGCTTTGGTCAAACCTACTTGCAATCGATGAAAGCCTTTGCTTTCTGAAGACAGCTCACTGCTTACTCCTGGACCTTCCACGCCCCCACTCAGCTGGAAGAGCGGAATCATTTCCAAGCCGAGTTCCAGGCGAGCAGCAGCTCTTCAGACAACTCACACATGGGCAGTTTGCAAATCTCCCAGCCATTTCCTTTCCATGGGATCCCCAAGCCTCTGTGCACGGCCTCTCCCTTCCCCAGCATGCAGCCCCTGGAAGGGGCACTGCTGCGAGCCCCTGCCCAGTGCCACGCTGGGACCACTGGCACCAGGCAGATGGCAAGGCACGGGCCCTGGGGTGACCCACCCGCTCCTGGGGGACCCACAACCCCAGAGGGCACCCAGGGGAGAAGAAGCACCCCCGCCCCTGACAAGATTGGGTTACTTTGCTATTTTGTCCTAGGAAACTGAGTTCATTTCCCCCTTTATAGAGTCAAAATTGCCAAACGTAAAATTCCAATTAGTTAGACTTGGTTACTCAAAAGAAAAAGGAAAAGCTCTACAAGATTAAACCAAACCCCAGTAATAAGATATTAAGGAAATACAAGCATCTCATTCTTCAGATCAGAGGGTTTTAATAATAATGACAAAAATCAATATGAAACTAAATTAAATCCGCTGTTTATATTCATCAGGTAATTTGATCGAGAGCCTGCCAATGCAGGTCTCTAGTGCTGTGATAAGTAAATACAAACATGCTACTTTCAGATCACAAAGTTTTAGTGGAACGATCAAGAGCAAATTAAATCAGAGCTATTTTCCACACCAGCCAAATTCCAATTAAATTAGGCCAGATTATTTAATAAGGAAGTCTACAAAACTCTAGCTCTTTATTGATGTAATGATACAGAAATATAAACTTGTTGCTTTCCAGATCACAGCATTTAAATGCAGGGGAGGAATTAAGACTTCAGTAAAACTGCTTTAATTTAAATTCAGCTGGAAGTGAACACGGAAATTCCTTCTCATCATCATCCTGACTTCTCATTGAGTGTCCAGCAGCAGCTTTCAGCCTTGCTCTCTTCCCTGGCTGTGACTCCTCAAGGAGCCCAGTACGTTACTGGATGAGGGGACACAAGTTTCCAGCATCCATAACAAGCCAAGTTTGGAAAGGAAAGGAACAGCCCAGGAAAACCCTAGAACATTTCCTGATGTACCCTTAGTGATAAATCCTGCTCCCATGTAAGGAATCTGTCACGTGCCTGGAATCCTTCTGTACCTTCCAGGTGAGCAACCAGCTTTTTTTTTTGTTTTTGTTTTTTGTTTTTGTTTTTTTCTTCCTTTTTCAGGAAGAAAACTCATGGATTGGGGCTTGGGGCACAAGAAGGGTTAGGGACAATGGTTATGCAAAGGCAGGTGGACATGTCAGAGGAATTCAAATGCTTAGGGCAATCAACTTACCTGCAGCTGCTAATAGGCAGAAGGGTACAAATTATTTTATTAAAACTGGAAAAAGCAGAACTTCTGACATTTTATTCCTGGGAAAGATTTCAGTGGATCACTGAATTAAGATTCAAGTTTATTTATTCCCTTCATCTGATGAGCCCCCAGTGCCTCCAGGCTCTCAGCACGGAGTACCTGCCTCCGAGGATTTTGTTCCCTTTTCAAAAGGTTTTGCTGACAACAGGGGATTTCAGTGCAGATTCCCAGCCTGTCAAAACAGCCATCCAGGGAAAGGATCTCTCCCTGGGCACTGCTGCAAAAGCAGGGACAATTCCTGCTCCCTGCATCCTCTGGAATGTGGGTCTGAGCTTCCAAATTGAAAAGTAAATTCCCCAAAGGCTCCATAAATTCCAGTGAGTGTTAGTGCTATACATTTATTATTCTTCTTTTGTATTTCTACTGTCAGGTAATATTAAATGAGACCAGGAGGCTCCTGAAGACTTTGAGAGAAGAATTGTGAATGAAGATCCTGTGGGAGATATGAAAATTGTATGGAAGATTTTAAAGCTGCAGAGGGGGAAAAGCCAAGTGACCCAAGGAGGTTAATGTGCCCCCTTCCCCCCTCCCCTTTGCAGGAGGGAAAGGGTAAAACCCTCTGAGGATCTGCACCAAATCCAGGTCATCTGCTCTGCAAAACACTGATGTACTCACCTGCAGAGAGGTCACAGACATACCCAGAGCAGCAACACTCCAAAGGCTTCTCTGCACTCCAGCAGAAACAGACAGGGAATAAAGATGTGTGGATGCAATCAAATTATCCCTTCAAAGAAACAACAATAAATGCTGAACTTCCCAATTACAGGGGACATACAAACCTTGGAAGCCATTAAGAACCACTTCTTCTGTTGATGAATTATCCAGAGTGCACAAGCTATTTGCTGAGCTTCACTGTACTATGCTAATTATAAATTAATATATTACTCATTACACAGTCAGGCTCTCTAGTCAACTAATGCAGTGCTGCAAAGAGCCTGTTTTAAAACATTCTCTGGTACTTTTATGATCTGGATGTTTAATTTACTTCTGTTCTGGCTTAAATGCAACCAACATGTCATTCTTCCACCAGGAAATATCCCTGGCTCCATCCTACCTCCTCTGGGGCTCACCAACATAGATGAAAGATGAAACTTAGAAAGGCTTTTTCAATGCTAAGCACTTGCATGAGAAATTAACTAAAATAGCATCATTTAAGACTAATTCCTGTGTTACTGATTTTTAAATCACTGTTTATCATGGCAGCGTGCTGGAGTGCTTCACCTGAAGCTGTGTCCAGGGAAGGTGAGTGCCTGACACCCCCATGCTCAGGGGTAACTCTGGGTGAGATGGGGAGCCAGGGAAAGCACGAGCATCCAGGCAGGACTCCCAGAGGGATGGGAAGACGAAGGGCAGAGCTGCTGGCACCTGAAATATCTGCTTATTGGCATTATTCTGACTCAGTCTACAACATCTGCATCCCCAGGCCTTGTGCCAGGCAACCTTGTGAAGAGGAACATCAGCCTCGCAGATAAGGAGAAAACTTTACATGGGCCTGTCTGGCAGGATGAATAGGGGGAAATGGAGCCCTCTTTCTTGGAAAACAGTCTTTGACATGGCATTGTTTCAGGGAGCATTCCTGCAGGAACGTGTTTATTTGTCAGACCGTTCTTTCCACGCTGTGCTCAACATCACGGAAACAACAAATATCGAGCAGGTCACAGAAGTCAGTCTGGAAACTGCCAATTGCTTCTTTCCAAGGAAAGCATCCTGGTGACTCAGCAGGACAGGGGAGACTGGCAGTGCCACAGCGGGGAGACACATTTGCTGGAGAATCCAGTGATTTTCAGCCTTTATAACACGGTGACATTGCACTCAGAATATCTAAGAGCACGCCAGAGTGACCAGCAGCTGGACAGGGGTGCTGTGGGGGGAAGGCATCAGGAGCTGAGGAGAGGAGCCATGAATGCTGGAGAGGAACTAGAGGGGTGGTGGCCTCAGGCTGGAAGGGTTGGTTTGGAAGGGACCTTAAAGATCAGTATTTCCAACCCCCCAGAAGGGACCTTAAAGATAACCTAGTACCAACCCCTGCCATGGGGAGGGATGCCGCCCACTAAACCAGGTCCTGAAGGGTACTGAAAGAGCTTTAAAGCATACTGGAGACCTTAAATCTTGGGATTAGAATTGGGAATACCACTGAGTCACTTTTGTACCGCGATACTAATAACCTGGTACAGTTTGAAATCTCTGGCTGAAGATGACTAAAGCCTGGAGGGCTTCTCAGAGTTGCTTCTGCTTGTAAGTTACAATGCAAAATCCCCGTGCTGACTGGAATCAGCGGTTCCTCTGTGAAACTGAGGCACTGGGGCACACGGATTTTAAGAAACAGCCTCAAATTTCCTTTACAGTAGGCAAGTATTGTGTTTTTTCATCAGTCTTTTTGCTGTCACAGGAGCCCAGAGGCAGGGAGGTGCTAAGGTCAGGCTGCGCAAGCGATGGTGTTTACGCTGGCCACTCTTCCCCGCCCAGCCAGGGAGGATGTGTTGTTCTGCTCCGGCTAAATCCGCATCCTGCTCACGCTGGAGCGCAGCATCCTGGGTGAAAGGGAGGGAGAGGTTCGGCGCTCAGCCCTCTCACGGCGTGTCTGTCCCTGCTCCTCCGCAGGCTGCGGGTCACGAACAGCCCGGACCGGCCACGCGTGGGCTGATGAGCGCGGCAGGGG